CGTCACCAAGACTCTTGATGGAAGTCGAATGTGCAGCGTATGGCTTGATGAGTTCACCAAGCATTTTTTTGTTTCTTACTAGTCTGGAGCTAAGCCACCGTATCTGTTTCGATCTGTTCCCTTTCTTGAAGTAATCACTTTACATTGCTCCGTACGCCGAAGAGAAGGTTCCAGTCTAGTCTCGATCATCGGAAAAAATGGGTGAAGTGAGTTGAGTTTTTCCCATTTTCGGTGGCTGGCTCTAATCAGTCACTTTTAGGTTCCACATGAAACTCAACAATGTTAATGAACTGTTGTAGCTGAGAAGGCTAAGCCATTTATCACAATCTATGACAATGCCTATCTTAACGGCTCTCGAAAACCGATTTCGAACCGGTCATAGCTTTAGTACAACCAGATTTCGAGCAATCAAGCTATCTGAAAGACATTTTCTTGTAGATTAGCTACGAAGCGTTTGTCTAGCTTATAGATCCATATATGAGTGGCTTTACGACTTTCTGAGACAGTCTTACTCCCCTCGGACGACTGAGGTGTATTCGGAGGATTTGAGGCAGGCTGGTTTCCCAAATCTTACATGTTTTCTCAACATTCGGTCGCATATCGTTGAGCTTCTAACTCTAGCTCAGGGATATAGCTCTTAACAATTTTATTAGTCACTGTCTTCTGTTTATAGCACTGTGCCAAGGTAAATCCCATCTCTTTGTATTGGTAGGCCTATGGCATGTAGGTATGCCATCGAATTGTATGAGTTGGTCGGAGTTCTCACACCCTCCCCCCCCCCCCCCCCCCCCCCNCTCACCTTTCTCTCTGGAGCAATTATTGTTTCCGCCGGTGGTTTGTGAAGATTACTAGCTGAATGTAGATGTTGTGATGTGACTTTTCAAACTTCAATACACCCTCAATCTTACACTGCTTCGAGTTTTCTTATGAGCTTTTTTTCAAATTTTCGCTCCATTTTTATTTCCATTTTTGAAGAAAGCATCGGATCTTCTCAGAAAGTTTCGCGTTTCTCGCACAAAAATGTGATTTAAGGAAGATTTTACGGCTAGATGAAGCAGTTCCGAGTGAAATTGGCTTTAGTGTGTTGATAAGTCAGGTGGCAGGTCATCGTGAGTGTCGTATACACTTTTAAGTACCGGTGAGCGAGTAATCTTCCGAAAGGAAGCATATAACATGTTGCAGCTTCAAACAGAGTTCCATTCGGAAGAAAGACTTCAATGTTCACTCGAGACTTAAGAGATACTTATCGGCTAGAGCTAGAATTCATAAACTGTACATCGTCATGGAAGTTTCATTGCTGGCTCTCAGCTCCTAGCTCCTATCTATAGCTCTTATCATCCTTGCTACAGTTGCACGTCTTTACCATAGACCACACGTCCCATTTGGCTCATTCTAGAACAATAGTAACGAAAGAATTCAACAGTAAGAATAAAGATACACGTTTTCCATGGTTTCTTTTTTCTCTCTCTCATCTAAAATTCCTCTTCTGCCGAAACCCCAGACGAATTGGCAGAGTTTGAACGGCGAGCGCTTTGATAGGATCAAAAAAGTGGATTCGCTGAGTTTCTATGTTGGTATCCTAAAGCCAGTATAAAGGCCTAATGTCTGCTGCTAACTGGATGTTCTTTATGGTTCGCTGCCTTATCAGATGGATTGGCTGATTCATGTTTCTATGGACTTCGACTTTTTGTCGTCGTCAAGCTGAATCAAGCTCCTTGGGAAGATTCCTCCTATTGAACATCACGACGCCAATTTTGCCTTACTCAGTTCCCAGCAGTTTTTCTTCAAGTTTTTCTTCTTGTTCAACATTCCTCTTCAAGAAAAGGCCTTAAAAAATGGTATTTTCTTAGATATAATAGGAAGGATTTAAGTCTTCGGGGTTGATAAATCCCGTTTATGGGATTAGTAGGATGAATATTAGGCATGAGTAGCCTGGGTGAGTATCTATCCAGGTTTCATACTCGGACGATGCACCTTTGTCCAACAGTGCGCTACTTGCCACTACCCAACGTCCGCCCTATCAATATATGACAGATGGCTTTCAAATATCAGAAAAACTGGATATGTTCAGTTGAATTAAATATATAAAGAATAAATGAAAATATGTAAAATCAGTAGAACATGTAAGCAATCTGATAGAAAGCCCTGAATCAACTCAACTTCGTCCATCTAAGAAGTATCTTCTTGAATGAATGCAGCGTGAAGGCCAATGCATCCACGTTAGCGCTTCTGACCTTTGAACTCATCTCATCTCTCCCCCCAATTGTTCTCACGCACACCATTTTCCGCAAACGCCAAAAGTCTGAATCAACTTTTCAACATCTGGTTCGAGCAGTTGTTGATGCCCATCCACTCCCTGTACCTATCCCATTTCAAAATCTCAAGCTTTTTGACAAAGCAATACACAGAGTACCATGAAGAAGGGAAGTCTAAGTTTGCTAGGTCGTTCGATTAGTTCCTGGTACATTTTCAAACAAAAAACCGAACCATCTAAATCTGCTTTTGCAAACCGGCTCCTCTACTCTCTTTTTTTAGCTTTTTATTGGACATTTTTCTGTTTTGAGTTCTAACTTTCCTCTTCGGAATGGGATCGTAACAGTTTTTCGATAAGATAAAGGATAATCAGTGAACACCTCGACCTTAACCAAACCTGTCTTTGGGAAAGGGTCTTTTATTCGACTTCCACTCATTATCGTAGTAGTACATTGAATGCGTATGAGAATTAGTCAACCGCGGGGTGACGTAAACTTTGGTCGGCCTAGGCGAAGACCGATCCGACGTTCCATTGGCGGACCATACGTGTATGTTAGCGCTGCACTCGGCTTTACACCACCACCAAAGTCTTTTTTGACATAATGCTAAATTAAACTTTGCAAAAGACTGGGAAATGTTCAGTCTAGAAAGACGGACTAAAAAGAGCCTAGGAAGACGGAGTTCTAAAAAGAGTCCGGCCTCTTATCATTTGCTAAACAAAGGTTTGACACACTCTACTAAAAACTTGTACAATTCCTAAAATACTTTGCACCGTAGTCAATTACATCGCGTCTTTATTTTGCGAGTTTGAGCTAAGTCATATTTTTGCCGCTACTCATTCCTATAAGGTTAGCGGCATGTTTCGTCCCATTTTTTGAATTTGGCAGGCAAAATTAACAAAGGAAGTATCTTATATCAACAGCACCTAGTCGTTTTTCTACTTCCATTTTTCGCAGAATGGAAAGTGAATCTATTCAGGACTATTGGAATTTGCATCATGTCGCACTTTTCTTCCACCAATCTCGTTCTAATATAAACGGAGGTGAGGTTAAAACGAAGGACGTCCTGACACAAACGCGATTCCGTATGGATGACTACATTCACAAAGTTAAGGAGAGGTCTGGATGCTCATCCTAATTCATCATTAGCGGTTTAGACTTGTATTTAAAACGGATCCATCCCTATCTACAAAGGAAATGGCAGGCACTCTTGGAGCTCCCAGTTCCAAGATCGATCGAAACTGGTGATCGAAACTATGTTGAAGATATGGGAATAAACAGAAAACTGTGACTTTTATGTACCACACCACCTCGAGCCTGCCGATCGTGATTTTCGTATGGATGCCTGTTTAATTGGCTCAATTGGCGATGAAAAGTGAAACTACTACTCAAAACAACCTTCACAGGAAAGCGCAGTGAATTGGTCCAGGAGAAGCGCTCGAGATATCCATCCCATGAACGTCCCTGGGAATCCAGTGGGATAGATGGATGCGCAAGGGCTAGCACATTGACAACTAATAGATGAGGAAGCTACTGTTACTGCCGATTTATACACGTAACAACCATGGGATCTAAGACGAATCATCGATCAACGGGTTGGATTTGTCCGAAAAAATCTACTCCCAGCATGACAAGATCAAATTGCACGATGCAATAATGTTCACGACGGAGCCTTTGGGGTATGAATTTGAGTACTGCCTCTTCCTTCATACAGCATAGCATCCCTCCTACCAACTATTGGTTGTTCTCCGATCTAACTCGCTAAATAGATGGGAGGAACCTCCAAAACTCGTGCCAGCCTCCATTTTAGAGAGATGGCAGCCACAAGCGAGAAGTTTGGCAAGAAGTCGCCGACAAAGTTAGTGATTATATTCAATCTGGGTGTTTCTATACGTGGGCAGAGCTTGTGTTTGGAAAATGGGACGGAACTATCCCGTCATTCTGATCGTTAACGCCCATTTATCCTATTCTTTCTTCACTAAGCAAAAAAGTTTTTGGAGGCTGCAAAGGGAGCACAGAAGGTATTTGCTCTAGGAATTTATTTTGACAGCAAGACCGAGAAACATAGTAGTTGGCAGTAGCGGCGGTCGAACCTGATTGGAGACACAATTCATGATAAAATAGTTTCTTTACAGGACTAACCTTTAGCCCCCAAGGATTGCACAAGGGGCACTGACGGATCGAAAACGTTCTGCACAAAGCCTAACAAGGGCTTCCAGAACGGCCAAGTCGACGTCCATACCCAAAAGCGGAAGAGAACTCAGACGAGTGGCCAAGGCTATAGAGACTGTACTATTGCACCAGGATACAGCTGATCGCCAAGGATAAAGAATGCTCTGAAAACAGTAGTGCTCTCTGTACCCCCTGAACGCAATGACACACATCATGTACGCTTCGCTCGGACACCCTTTCCACGCCATTTTTGTCATATTCTGTCTAACCCCAATTTTTCCGCTTTTTTTTGAAGTTTTTTTTGTTCTTTTAGAGCCACCGATTCTCGTGTTTTCTTCGTAGCCATCGCACTACCCTCGACCTTCGCTTCTTTTATTCGTCTTAACCTGGGTACAACAAGATTATCGTAAAATATCTAACAATAAACCCAAATTACCAGTTGTCAATTTTTTTGCTTTTTTAGTTTTGCCTGGCTAACGTGTGGCTCTTCTGACTGGACAAAAGGACATTACTTGTTGCATTTGAGCGTTTCACTGCTTATAATAGGATATACTTCAGCTCCCGCCAAACCTAGCAATGGCGACAACAACTCTGATGGCTGGAACAGCATGTGTAACTGTCTTTACCACGTTATTCTGTATAGGATTTTCTATCTACCTCCTGAACGATATTAATAATTTCTATGACACTGCTATGGAACAGCTAGCGGATTTTAAGGTATATTTATTATATTTTAGCCCAATTCATCTGTGTTAAAATTTTAAAATACGGATCAGTCTCTAAGTTTTGCATATGTTCAGGATATTGCAAATTCGGCTTGGTTTGAAATGCGACCGACGCTGATGAACTATAAACCAAATGCGGAATCACGTCGAGCGAAACGTTCGTCTGGTTGCTCATGCAGTTCAAGACAGGCCAGCTGTCCCATGGGGCCTCCTGGTCCTCCTGGCCCACCAGGACTGCCTGGAGAACGAGGTCCCGATGGAGAGCCTGGTCGACCTGGTGCAAAAGAAAAATCAGTTCGTGATTTAATTAGACGTCTGCCGTGCCCCATTTGCCCAATGGGACCCCCAGGACCGCCTGGTCCCGATGGACCACCCGGCCCTCGAGGTCCAGATGGACTTCCTGGACCAGTACATTCACCGGTCATAGGATATCCAGGACCACCTGGCCCTCCAGGAGACCGAGGAGCGCCTGGTGCTCCTGGACAGCCCGGACGTCCTGGGATACCAGGGTCTAGAGGCAGTTGGGGGAAAGGGTTACCTGGACCACCAGGCCTCCCCGGTCCTCAAGGACCGCCAGGTGAGCCGGGAAAACCAGGAATTTCGTTGGCACCTATACCGGGCCCGATTGGGCCAGCAGGTCCTCCTGGCAGGCCAGGCCCACCTGGTAGTGACGGTCCGCCTGGTCCACCTGGTCAGCCTGGACCTGCAGGTGCACCAGGCGGATTAGGCGAGGGTAATCAGTGCCCGTGTCAAAGCCCTCCCAGGTCGAACGATATGAATAGACGAAAGTCGGGAGTTTCACGACATAGAATGCATGCTCATAAGCGGTTTTTAATTGTTGACCGCACGACAGGGCAGAGGAAGAAGTGATTAGATGTTGTCAATGTCTCTTGATTTTAACTATTATGTATAATTTTTTAAATAATCTTCACAATGTCCAAAAGTTGTATGAGCACTGCCTAATAAACAATTGACAGAAGAGAAAAAAGTTGTGCATGTTCAATGAATGTAAACGAATTGGGTGATGCTTTGGAAAATGTCATACTTCTGACACTCATATGGAGGCCACTTATCTTCTTGACGTTATGATTCGCTGAGTTCTACAAGACGATGAGAAAACTTCACAAATGTGCGAGCGCGTAACGTAAATTGTAAAGTCACATCGATGCTACGTAGGAACGACTGGTTTACTTCCCACCCCAACACTCCTTTATCGACAGACCCGATACACAAATCCATTTGAAGCTTTATTTTCTCAGGACAATGTTCATCTCTTCCCTATTTCTTAGAACAATCACACGGTTCAGCACTGGTTCGTGTTTAATAAAAGTTTACTGAATCGCGATCATAGAGCAGAGATGCTACGAGACCCGATCCCCATGTAGTACAACAGGGACTGTCACCAGCGGTGGTGACAGTCCCTGTTGTACTACATGGGGATCGGGTCTCGTAGCATTTAGGAGAGTCAATCCTCCATCGCGTCGGACTCCTGGTCAACGATTGGAATCGTACTCATATGGGAAAATGGTACCACTGACTTCAACAGGCTATCTCAAAAACGTAAGCGCCTATGCATTGCAGTGTATTTTGAGTTTCTAAGCTGAGAATGACAATGAAGTCAATAAACACGTTTGCTTACAATATGTGCAACAACAAGCCACAATAAAATTTCAAAATTGTCTCCATAATAGGGATACAGGCTTAAGGTCTGTTCTTGAATTCCTCGCATATTGTGCGCAGCTATCCGTCCTCCATTTCTTTCCAGCACTCTTTGAGCCTTAATTTCGAAGACTTCAAGCTGAGATGGCAAATTTTTGTTTCCAATGTTCCCGTCCGCTTAGGTTTCAGAGTCAGGCCGGTTGAAAGTGGCGAGCGGAGTGGTCATTCCTCGGTACTGATGAGGCCCGGTAACTAGTGTCGGCACCACTCTTGGCGACCTTAGTTCTTGGCTAAATTGACGTTCTGCTAAAAGGATGTGTTTCAGGAGAGGAACCTGGTCAGTTCGTCAGTACGTCCATCAGTGTGTTTTAATATATAGATCTTTGCCGATTTCCACGCCGGTTCCGAAGAAACCAACGACGCCTAACCGTCGGTCGTTACTTGCTCCCTTACTCATCATTTTGCTGCTCTCATCAGATGTTCTTTGAAAGAGACAGCACTTTGATTATGTAAGCGAGACGCAAGAACGCAGTCATTTTGTGGACTGAAGATAGGCTGTACCATAAAACTTCCTCTTGACAGAGGATCGATGGAAGGATGCGTTTCTAACCTCCAAGACAGCAACCTTCTGCAATTTTTGAAACTATACTGCCTGTTGGGATCGGAAACGAAGTGGCTTTTTTGCATAGAAAAGGAGAGATTCCTTTCCGTCCATACACTCCATCGCTAACTTCGGTACAACTAGTTTCGTGGCGATATTTTTGATGGACCACATAGGATCATGACAGGCTCGCATATGGGTTGTTTCGACGGTAATACTATGGGGACAGTAGCCTTTTCACCAATCCCGCGGGTTTGCCTTCGATTGATACATCTTCTCTGCAGTGTTCGGTAGCCTTCTGTATGATGATTATTAGAATATAAAGGAGTTGTATGATGCTCTTCCTCCTCTGCACCTGAATTATAGCTTGTGACAATTAATAGGCCTCCAACACCTCAAAGTACCAGGAGACTTANGTCAACAAACTATTACTGTCTCAAAAATTCTTTACTTCTGGCGCCATAATTTTGGGACCCTTGTACGCGACTGGCCGTTGCAACTCATTGCATTGGTCTCCTACGCGTTCAAAATGCTACTCCGACCATGAATTGAAAGTGAAGAAGGGCACACAACAAAACAGTGTTGATATGACAAAGAACTAACACAGTATCACGCACTACTCCGTGTTATACCGCATACATGCAATTTTTTAACTAAGCCTTAAGAAGGAAAGAGCGGGAAGGAGCTGCTATGCATGCTTCCCCTTTCCCCCTCCCTTCTCCACTACATTTTTACCGTTATCTGCAACCAAACATCAAAAAATGTTGATAACAGAATAGACTTTTCTCTGCATAGTTCATCGACTCACCGAAAATCTTTGAAGCTAAGCGAAGTGCCAGAAGTAACCACAACTGAAAAAATATTCAACACCTCATCTTCTCTGAAGACGAATCTATATGTGAGGAAGGAAGTGAAGTTTCTCCTGAAGTTTTTGTAGCTTCAGTCGCAAATCTCAGTATAAGGCCGGAGTATACGTTTCAATAAGCACGATTTGACGCCCAAAGACAGATTACACTGCTAGACGTTGAAGAAATGAGCTTTACATCAATTTTAAGAGACTGATAAGAAGGAAAGGAACCACGATAGGACTACAATAGAATTGAAGCTAGAAGTGAAACTATTAGCTTCAATCTTTTCAACATGAGAAAGCAACAATGCAACAGTTTGAAAAAGGAGGTGAGGCCGCCGCAGATGTAAGAATTGGAGTCAAAGGCATCGCAAAATGAGGAACTAGAGACATCGGTGCGTCCCGCTACGTGTCTCGTCTTTTTGCATCCAAGCTAGTCAAACGTCAACAAACGAAGATTTTATAAATGTTTCTCTTCACCCAGATTGTGCTTAGCATCATTATTGCAGCTAATTACTGTAACACTAGTTAATAACAGTGAGGTATAGTTAATTTACCGAATCACATCCTCGTTGCTCGAGCAATAATCGGGACGTCCTTCGTCGAAAAGTAGTACATTCCTTAGATTCATTCGAAGGATTACAGCATACTTTGGGAGGAATATTAGGTAGTCACATAGAATCTTCAAAGGAGCACTAGATAAATAACAACATTGAATGTCATTTCAAGCGGTATTTATACTCTTCGAGTTCGCGCGCGAAATTCAGCGAGGTGATGGATATGAGACACGAGGAAGCAAAATGTCAATATCAAAATCTAGTCAATACATTATTGTTTATACGTGATATATAAATAGTGACTAAACAGAGATGCACAAAATTGGAAGGCCTTCTCGGTGCCATGTTCGTTGTTACCACTCATATGATGGGGAATTAAATAGTCCAAGCCAGCAAGAAGGAGAATAAATCAAGGCCGTCATCAAGGAAACTTATAAAAATACTAACAAGAAGCATAGAGACACGAAAGCAACTGAAATAAATCAAAATGCTGTTCGTTCTGCCTCTTCATTGGACCAACCCCTGCTTCCATATATTCTTCGGACTTCAGGCCCCCCAGAGGTCTAAATTTTATGAGAAAAGGTTCGAGGATATTCCTCACTGATAACTAAGTTGTATTAGACAATTCTAAGGGCATAAATCATTCTACTTGCCAAATTTGTAGGTGCTGAAAGTATTGCCGTTCAAACTGGGACTCCAGTGTGTGGGCATCCAACACTGATCAACTCCAGACTTGGGAAACTTCTTAGAAGTCAATCAATCATTGCCAGATCCATCCGACCTTAATGATACCACAGTTTAGACTTTTCTTCTTCAGGGCAAATTTTGTTTTCAGTCACGTACGGGTTATGGAGAGTGAACAAGTTTTTATTGCATGAATGATATTTTTGGTCGTTTAAAAACCCCTAACACCTGTCAACTTTTTATATCTAGAACTAGTTTGAGAGTGTTTAAGCGGCTTCCCGATCTGTCCCATGGGATCTTTAGGGCTACAAAAAAAACCGTGGAACTCGCTTATCCTGTGTCACAAAACAATTTTCGGTGGGCCTATTACAACTGAGAGCTATAAAAGCTAGGGAAAGGGCTGCACACAGGTAGTTATCACTTTCGTTCACTCGTCTACTAAGCTTCTCCACCTCAAACGTGATCCCCAAACGTGATACCCTCCAAAGACCTTCTCCAGTAGAGTGACAACATTTTTATGTGACTACCCCATGCTGGCTATTCCATCACGGGTGGATTGCTCCTTTTGTGTACTTTACTAGGACGATTTAATGCCATGAAAGCTTTCTGTAAAACGTACATCTCTGATGTCATTGCTCTTCTCCCGTTACCTAAATCATCCACCGGGTCTGCTGAATCCCTTTTCGTGGAGACGTGGATCTATAGGCAGCACATTCTTGAACAGGGACTGGGAGCAGGCTCCCACCCAAATGTTGGTACAAATCATGGTGATCGTGCAATTGTGGGTGCGCTATCTAGCAACCATCCGTCCCATCTCCCTTTACCGTCGCCACCTTGGTGATGATAACCCCGTCAACCAGACAACTAACCAAGACAATCAACTACGTACATTTGAGAAAACAACTAGCTAGCAATCGGGACCTGGCGTAAGCAGATAAGGGCTTTCTTCATACGTCTTGGGAGTGCATCGAGTTTCTAGGTATTTCGTAGCTCACAGATTTGTATTCAACGCTTGATATGATGCTAATCGTCCTGTTTTGATCCCCTGCGCTCTAGTACTTACAGTGTGGAAAGTAACAAATCGCGAGACACCGATTTCTGAATCAAAAGAGCCTGTATCCAATTGTGTGAGGGATGTAGCTCATCAACAGCACCTGTGATTTCTTAGAAGTCGAACATCTCTCTCTATCAGCTATTTCGTTCCGATTTTCAACGGCATAAACAACATCTCATGAGTAAACTCCGTTTTACGGCAGAGTAATGATGACATCCACTGCTATCGCTACTACTGTGATCACGGTCTCGGCGATAACAACAGTCGTCAGCTTGATTTTCGTCGGCTATCTTTTCGACGATATAAATAGCTTCTATACTGATACTGTGAACGAGCTCGATGAGGTGAAGGTAAGATCATAAGTGGCACAGTTGATTTGTGACGATATCTATCGAAATTATCATTACAGGATATCGCCAACACCGCTTGGCAAGAAATGCGGCCTGAACCTCACGATGTTTTCAAGTTCAAAAGAGAAACTGTACAGCCTCGTGTTGCTCGTCAATTGCCAGAAACGTGTAACTGCGCGCCGAGATCTGCGCTATGTCCTGCGGGACCGCAAGGCCCTCCTGGATTGGCAGGAGAACCCGGCGAACCTGGAGAACCAGGTGTTCCAGGCAAAAGAGGCTACGATGGTATAGCGATTGCAGGTACCGGTAAGGATGTTGGATGCATCAAGTGTCCAATGGGTCCTCAAGGACCACCTGGTCCGGATGGCCCCATTGGCGAACCAGGTCCTGATGGTGAACCTGGTATGAGGGGAGTCGATGGTACACCTGGACATCAAGGGCCTAATGGACCAGCTGGAGACGCAGGCTTACCTGGACTCCCTGGACCTGATGGGCTTCCTGGAATTCCTGGAAACAACGCACAGAAGGGAATTGGAATTCCAGGACCAGCCGGACCAATGGGACCACCAGGTCCACCTGGTGCACCTGGCCCTAATGGACGTGTCGACATCGGAATACCAGGGCCAATGGGACCACCTGGACCACAAGGCAAACCGGGTCTTAAAGGAGCTGATGGAGAACCAGGAGAGCAAGGCCCAGAAGGACCTCCAGGACTCGATGGACAGTATTGTCCATGCCCATTGCGGTCGGTCATGCCCATATTTGAAGAATTCCGTCGAGGAGCAGCAACGCTTTAATGGAGAACAGTCCAGTTGAAAGGGATATCGATTCGACATAACCAGAAAATATGCCCGAGTGCCATTCGATGCAAGATCATTAGTGCTAATATTAAATTATAAATCTTTCATGCACCAAGTTTCATACCGTTTGACAAAAGAACACGACGACGAAGCATTATTGTTATCACTTGTTGAAAATGAAACAAACTAAAGGCAACAAATATAAGAACTGTACATGGGGAGGTAAAAAGTTGAGACATATGATAAGTATAATAATTAAGCAGTTATACAAAAAACAAAAGTTTCTGAAGAACTTCAATGATACAAAGGCCATAATATTACTTTACTAGATTTAGAAGGGTTTAAGCATTGAAAATGAAAAAAGAAAGAAGTTTGGAGAAGGGTCGGCGGTGTTGAAAGGAGGGGAAGTGGGACGAGATAATTCCTCGAATGCTGGAAGCACCCCAATCCCATGAGGTGGAGATGGAAACACGTGACCCTGGGAATGATATTCAAGGGATGTGTAGTGGAAACAAATGCATATTTATGTGTACAATACTTATAACTTCAAAAAATCGCGACAAATAAATAAAGGCCAAGAGGAACTGGTTAAGGCTTAGGAGAGACTAACGAATCAACTTTCCCTTGTTTTTTCCTTACAACCCGGAATAGTCAGAAGTTTCAGATGGTGAAAAGTCATTTATTTAGTAATTCATGTCCCTGGATCGAAGAAAATTTTCCACATCGAATCCTTCAGTTGACTTAAGATTCATTCATCGTACCAGGGGCTCTGGAAGCACTGATATCGCTGCTCAAGTTTACCAGAGTTAGCTACAGATTTACTCGCGAAGTGCTACACACCTCTATAAATTTCCCACGAAAGGGTCATCCATTCAATTTTACCTGATCTCTAGAGTATTGAAGGTGATAAAGTACAAAGTACCATAACTGTACTCTCAAGAACTCTGAGGGACCGTTTCCCCACATTCCACTAGCACTTTTTCCGTGAGTTCAGGAGTGATAGACGATGTTTTTCATGCACGAGGGAGCTCAACCTACGAGCATCAAGACATTGAGCTCATACTTTTTCATTTCCTAAGTTAATGTCTTCTAAGAGCCCATTTCACAAGACAGTAGTTTTTCATACTGTTTTTCCATAATCACTCTCAATATTATTGATTTTATCACTTCATTTTTGCTACAAGTTGTAAAAACATCTTTTTCAGCACCTCTTGAATGATGGAATTCGATGATGAATGAAATTAAATCCCTGATAATCACTGCTCCCCGAGTAGACTAGAAGTTCCAACTGCTCTTCGGTGTTTTGATTGGGAATATTCCCCCCTTGAAGCCAGCCTCCCGTTTAGACTGATTGACTGAAGTGAGAAATCGCAATGACATCTTGGTATCTTAATTGTAAAACATTTTCTACATAGTTCTCTCTTCGATAGATCTTCGCAGTCATGCTATTAGAAAAGCCGATCTCTGCTTCCCTATCCATCCGACAACTCGAAGTCCTCGAGGCATTGACGTTTGCAGAATGAATCGACTGGGATTACATGGAGGTAAGAGGTTTTTATGCATAAGTATCATGATTTCTTAAATTAGTTGCCTATACAGGCTTAAAGAAAGCGACCACCACAAAGTATGTTCTGGCAGAAACACCGAGTAGGAACAACGGAATTCTTCTCTGTTCCTTTAAAGAGCCCGACTTCTTCCGGAGTTCGTAGGCCATGAGTAGCTACAATGATTTTCGCCTCTGCAGGCACCTAGCGCGTGCTCACTCTTTGAACGTGTGGATAACCTGGAAATTCAACTTCATTAATGATGCTCCGAGGGTGCATATTGGGAGACTTCACAATCGTTTCCGAGAGCCCAGCCATCTTCATTGGAAATGTTTGGCAACAACACGGTTGACGTAGGAAAACATATGTCTTTTAGAATTCCCATCCGTAGCTCAAGCAAACAAGTCACATGTGCTCGTCCTATCTGTTCTTCTTTCCTTACATCATGCCTGAGTTTAACTATGTGCAACTATATTTATTCAGTGCATGAATACAAATTTTTCAATTAAACAAATTCTTCTGAAGAAATCAAAAGAGCAGAAGAAAAATCCTAATTAGTGTCGCCTCAGCCGTCTCATCCTTCTATGTCGCACCGGCCGCCTACGGCTTACTCGTCTATGATGCGATCTAACTTTTCTTTTAAGAGAGGGACGTGGAGTTGTTGTATGATCTTTTGGCTTCAAGCCTGGCGGCATACCATGACCGCCAATGATAATGCCAGTGTCTTCTTCTTCATCCATTAAACGAACCGTTCGAGGTGGGCACGGACAGTATTCGGCATCATCCCCAGGCATTCCTTCGTCACCATCTTTACCTGGTTTTCCATCAGGACCGGGCTGACCAGGGTTTCCAGGAAGCCCAGATGCACCTATTGGGCCGGCTGGTCCTACAGGCCCATCGGAACCGTCAGGTCCTGGTGCGCCAGGTGCACCAACCGGTCCAATTGGTCCTTCTGGTCCAGGCTCTCCGACACCATATTGTGCTGATCTTCCAGGTAATCCTGGTGGACCCTCGGGACCAGGTACGCCTGGTGGCCCTCTCTCACCAGGCGGTCCAGGTTTTCCTCGAGGACCGGGTGCACCGTTTGGTGCATCCATGCCAGGTAAACCATCCACTCCTTTGAGACCAGGAGGTCCTTGTGGTCCAGGTATTCCTGGAGGACCCGCAGGACACTTGATGCATCCTACTGACCCTCCTGCTCCCGAAATCGCGAGACCATCTAGACCGTCTCTGCCAGGCGGACCCGGCGGCCCGTCATCTCCAGGTTCTCCTTGCGGTCCTGGTGGGCCAGGAGGTCCAATAGGGCAGTTCCTGGCCTGACGACCACAGTTGCACCGATCTCGGGCGATATGTCGACGTTTACGAGGAAGCCAAGGCACTTCCTGGATTTTGGAAGTTCCGTTGGACGGCAGTCTCATCCGATCCCACGCTGTGTTTGCCAAGTTCTGAAACCAATTTCTTTCATTTTTTCGCTCAGTTGATTCAGCCTAAAACTTTTAAAATACCTTAAATACGACAAGTTCTCCAACGGTGTCGTCGTAGAAGTTGTTGATATCGTTAACGAGGTAGACCACAATGCCAAGGTCGACGACCATTGAAATGGCCGTGAACGTAGCCACCACATATCCTATCTTAGGAGTGACCATGCCACCGGATACTGAAAACTGTTGAATTCTTTTCTGTGGATAGTCCTAGCGAGAAACCATTGGCGTGTAGCATACGCTCTATTCAGGCAGTAGGCAATTTGTAGGATTGTAAGTGTCAATGAAAATCGAAAATGTAGTTTTAATGATTTATCGCCAGGGTCAGGATTGTCCGATGCTTGAGACAACCTAGGATATGCATTTTTAGGAAGCGCAGGAACTATTATACCTAGTAGATATGATGTTCCTAGCTCTATCTCAAATCATCAGACCCATCAAAATGAAGGAAAGCTCGATCAGCATAAGCATTCAAGTGTCTCCAAGGATCAGAATGATAACCGGTCGCTTGATGCAACTAAATGGGATCAGTGATCGTCGCGGATCAATTGGAACGAACAATTCAGACTGAGTCATCCGTGGAAGAAAGCTATCTGCTTCCTTTCCCAACATTTCCTGGGCAACCATTCCTCGAGCAAAAACCTATTGTCATAGTGCAAATTTTCAGTACCTAGTCCAATTCCCAGAAAAAAAAACCAAATTTTCTTCATTCCTTCCTGCTAGTTGATCAAGGCAATTCTGATAGATCCCGGAGTTCCAAAGTTTTCCTGATAATCCCACCAAAAGCGACTGCTACGATCGAATGGATTGATAACGAGATATCAAAAGGAGGTGGAGAAAGGAAGCTCGAACGAAAAATCCGCCAAAATCTCTCTTGGTTTTCTGCAAATGGTTGTCCTGTTTTCTAGAGAACGGTACCATTCCAAGCAGGGTGAAACTCTGGTCCAAAGTCACTTTAACAACTTTATCACTGATGCTAGACTAGAGCTCGTCCCTGATTGAAGTGGTAGTAGGATGCTTAGGCAGTGGTAAGAAGAAACAGACAGAGATTCTCCTCTGTTCAATCTGGCAATTACGGTTTCCCATGCAGATTGGCTATAAAGGAAATACAGTAGCTTTCCCCAGGTTTTTATCTCTCTTCCATTACCCTTTTAGTCTATTCAGGCATTGATTGGTTCGTTATTAGGCTTGGTCTTTTCCTAAATGGGTCTTGTTTGGATATGGTAAATGATGACGTTCAGAAGTGAGCAGAAGAAAAGAATTTTAAGTGATATAGTAATCACGAAAAATGTGCGGAAATGACTGCAATATTGGACCATCTGGTTGTAGATGATTCGGGCTTTTATATGTGTCATTTTGGTTGTCTCCTTACCCCGCTAATCCACTCGGTCATAGCAGTATAACGAGTTTTTTATACTTTCTGGAGAGGTCATCATTTATTTCCCAAAAAGGTTCTTAACACTAAGACTCGTAAAAGCCTTGTAGGAAACAGCCCGGCGGTTCTGGATCCATAACGTGCTATTCCATATGGATATTAATTAGATCGTTAAGGAGATTGGTCTTTTCTCGAACGGTGGTTTGTTGCTTCTTGGATATGGTAAATTACGGTGCTTAAAAGCGACCAGAAAAAGAGAAATTAAGAGATATAGTACTCACCGTGAAATGTATGGGAATGGCGGCAAAATTAGATCTGGTTGTAGATGATTAGGGCTTTTATAAGTGCCATTCTGGCTGTCTCCTTACACCGCTAATCCACTCGGTCATAGCTGTATAACGAGTTTGTTTTTTTAGCCAGGTCAACATTCATTTTCCAAAAACGTTCGCAACGCTGAGACCTGTACAAGCCCTGTGGCAAACAGCCTGGTGATTCTGGATTGCTTCAGCCCGCAGCCGGTTTCGATATTCCTCCAAGCCCAGCAATGATCTTAACATCCTGACAAAACTCATCCAAACAAAAATTTCCTCAGAATTTCACCCGCTACATAAAAGGAAATTTGCCATAATCAAGTCAGCTGAATGCAAATATGCAGAAATTCAAGTCATTCCCTTTCCCTTTTCATTGTACCGCTGCTATTACCCATTGCCTCTTTGTGTTAGTGTAGTAGATTGAAATGAAAAAAATAAAGATTCCTACAGGCATACTTATTTTTCATTCCGATAATTTTGACATCAGTTGTTCCCGAATGATCTTTCACAAATCTCCTTTGATTCGCAACATACATAATCTCCAAGGCAGGCGACTACAGTGATCGCCAGCACTGTAATACAGCAAAGTCGATAGTATACATCAAGCCATAAGAAGGCTTCAAATTCAGCCAATTTTGGGGAACTTACGAGAAAGCTGAGAGAAACTTGATATCTCTCAACTTTCGGCGCAGTTTTCCTGAATGCTATAAACTCGACATTTACAAATCTCATCCGGAGACAGGGGATGAGTAGGAGTCAGTTTTTCTTGTTGGTTACCTCGATCCCCTGACGGTTGCTAGAACTAAAATAGGGTTCAGACAACGATCGAGATTCCCCCACTTCTCCACATCGCAATGATACAGCCCTTTCTTGAGCACTTGTTGAAAATAGTGGTTAATGTCATTCAAATGCCATTCAAATTGCCCTTCAAATCGCCTGATCTGCTTCTAAATACATCTCGCAATGGTTATTCGAACAGTAGGGAGCTATGTGTCCACCTATAAGGGAGAAACGTTGTGGGTGAGAGGGACAAGAAGCTAAGGAGTAAAGTAGGACTCGAAGCGCATCAGAAACACCTCCATTGATTGCCACCTTCCAAATAATAAACGTCGATGGAGGCTTGAAACAGCTAATCCATCAGTCATTCTGAGCGCTCTCCTTTGTTGCAGCCGATGGAGAGAAAACCGATGGGTTCTCATCATAATTCGTCCACTCCCTGGAATTAGTTACAGAATAGTAGTTTGTTTTTTACATTGGCACATGACCGAGCTTACGCCGTTCATCTACTAGACCCTGTTACTTAGCACCGTACAGTATGCTTAAAAATTCAACCGCTCAAGTGGTGGAACCCTGGCCTCTGAAGAAGACGATTGCGTCGAAACGTTAGGCCATTGATTAAATGAATTCTTCCCGTAACAACACCGTACGGCACAAAAGTATTTCAATCATGCTTACAAAATTACCTGAAAACGTATCCTGATTGTCGGCCCAGAATAACTACTAGATTCAAGCGAGATAAATTTGCTATTGTAGCGCCAATATTGGAACGAAGATTAGAGTATCAAAGAGTTACTGACTTTATTACTGACTTGGAATGTAATAGAAATGACAAGCACGTCATGCACACATGCACAACGTTGGCACATATGCCCCGTCTTTGGAGCTTCAATTGTTTGTGTGAAGTATGGAGCTCTCTCACAAAAACTAGCCTTTCGTCTCGAACCCAGACAGTTCGATTACAAGCTTTTGCTACTTCATTTGTGTACTTTTTTCAAACTAAGTTCAAGATGCACTTCACCCACACCCACCCATTCCTTTGTCCACTGACCCCAAATCACTAAAGTGCACCAGGGGAAGGTGGAAATGGTGGTTCGTCTGCTGAAGAGGCGAAACGAGCCATCCCTTACTTCATTTCAGTTATTGTTAATTTAATACGTTTTTCACTTCAACAAACTCCACTGATTTCAATTTGTTATATTTTACTTAATGTTTAATTCCCTCTGGGTAAAAGGGGCAACCAAACGCGTTCAGACTGTCTAACAACGTTGAATGACAATTATGTGCTGAATCCGCTTCATAGTGACACAACGTGGATGACAACTGGCAACAGCTGATTACAAGTGTCAAAGCGATTATGTCATTGAACTTTTTACATCTTTGTTTTCAACGCTACAGTGTCTAAAGTCATTTGCGTCGTCAAAGGCACAGTTCACGATAAAAATGGTCTCTGAGCTCTCCCTCTAGGAACATCTAGTGGTCCTCATGGGTAACAGGAAGGACGCTGTCGGGTCCAGAAACTCAACAGCTAGAGAGAGCATAGTGGGAGCCCCGTTACCGGATCGCCCTGGTGCCCTGCCCCTCTACGGATGTTACGTCGGACGAGTGTCAAGGCAATACAGATTGCATTATTCACTCTAGGACCCACATGCAATCAGCTGATGCCGGGTAATGAGGCGACGTGTTTATGAGTGAACGAACTGCCAGAGCCATACGTCCGCTTGGTGACTGTAGTCAGCTATTCGCATGAGGACCCACGCGTACGCAATGAAACACATTGTCTCGTTCGAACACCCCTTCTTCTCCATTTCTCTGGTCTTCTTTTCGACCAGCTCCTTTTTAACGGTTTTTTCAAAGCTTTCCATCACACGAAAACGCCTATTCGCGCACTTTCTTCGCCTTTATCGCAATGTTTTGCACTTTACCTTCCATTTTTCGTCATAAAATGGGTTACCCAAAATTATCGTACTACTGTCACATCCTTGAAGGCCTTTAAGGATGAGGCAGAGGGCGGAAAACGGTAAAAGAAGCAGATGATAAGTGAAATACAATGATACCTGGCAATTCCATCACTTTCCTTAGTTCAGAGACCATGGGGGCCGTTGATCACGTAAATAGCCGAGAGATGGGCAAATGAAGGACGAGGGCGGTGGGGGAAGGTGAAGAGAAATTTTTGATCATGAAAAGCGTATCGATTGATAGAGCTCTCAAACTCACCTATGAAAATTCACATCATGAATAGATCGCTTTCATACTGCTTACAATCCATTGTTAATATAAAATATAAACATAAAAACACGTTCCAATTTGAAATTTCGCTAAGCGTGTTTCTCTGTGAGGGTTTACCTTGCAGGCTCCCCTGCTTTCGCTGTAGGTACATCGAGGACAGTTATAACACAAATAATAAGTTGTTAGAGGGTCAACCATCAACCACGAGTGTGTTAAAGTACACTATGTACTTGGAACGCATTCTAACCTCAAAACCTATAATTCAAAGGCGAATTTCAGACAAACATCAGGGCGGTAGCAGCTCTACGGTCAAACTTTTCGCGTAGCAGGCAACGAAAGGAATGTTCCTCTTGTGACTCGAGCGAAGACGATTTACTGGACCACTAGTACAGACGTTAGCCGCGGGAGAAAACGTTAAGCAAAGCAAACGATCCTGAGCAAGGTTTCTCATGAGTTGTTTCCTAGTACAGAGA